GACTAATAAAAACGATTGATCTTACCATGATGGGAGTAGACATTGCGCCAGGCGTAGATGTGATCGCCGGGCCTGAGCTGCCACCGATATATACGGCTCGAGAACACAGTCACCCCCCTATCCATAAGGAAAAATGTGCAAGCTACTAGAGAAATTAACCCAAGGAGAAATGATACAGCTTTCAATTGAGATCAAAGTTACATTTATAATGCTCATATTTATTCGGATGGCATATATTTGGATTCTGTAGAGGGAATACCTATATTATTTACGCAAAATCTATTGAGTGCGCCCAAGAATCTCTAGTGTGAAAAGAATTGCATATTTATCCACAGGACAACACCAAGTAGTCAACCATCATTACACTAGTCCTTTCTCTACACTGATCTTTTTATTTATATGAAACCTTTGACGATTTATAATTACATTGTAAATTCAAAACTTACACTGTAATTATATTGTAAGTTTTAATATTTAAACTGTAATTTGTTTGATGATCAATGTATAAGAGAATTAGTATTAAAAATAGTTAATTTATTATCTACATGGAGGAGGAGATAGGAGAGATAGAAGCACATATATGTATAGGAGATAGAGCAATCATATAGAGAAAAAATAATTGCAATTAATTTTAGCAATGATCAGGTCCATCTGAATCTTTCGCATAGAGAATACGCCATCATGAAATTGTATATAATGATCATGTTTATGATCGGATGGCATATTATTCGGATTCTGAATGATCTGTCCGAGGAGACTTATTATTCTTAAAGCACCTCTAACGTGAGGATTAAATCGAACCTAGCACGAAAATGTCGAACCAAATACATTGTGGGAGCTGAATCATGACATGAGTGACAGATATGGAGACGCAGGAGAGGCAGAGAATTTCTTCACTTGTGGGTCCCAGTGGGTCCCACAAAACGATCTGTACACTGTATAGATTGAACTGAAGCTTTGTTTCTTGGATGGACTGATCTGTACATTGTTGGACTGACATGTGGGGCCCACATGGGCCCCACCATTTTTTATTATTTTCTGTGTGAGACTAACATGTGGGTCCCACGAGTTTTATTATTTTTCCGGATCGAATTACCATGTAAGCGCCACGTCAGATGAAGACCGAGTCAAATTAGCCACGTAGGCGCCACGTCAGCCAAAACCGCCCTTAAAACCGCCGAGGGACCTAATTTGCACTGGTTTTGATAGTTGAAGGACCCGTTGTATCTGGTTTTCTGGTTGAGGGACGAAAATCGGATTCGTTGACAAGTTAAGGGACCTCAGATGAACTTATTCCTCCCCACTATAACCTTCAGGATGAAGCACACCAACAGCCTCCCTATCCACTAAAGTTCAAATTACATTCCTACCCGAGCTTCTTCATCTCTGGGCTGAGACCCAAGCTCACACAAGGAGAAGTCTATTAGATCTCCTCCATTCCTAGAATAAGTAAAATACAGGTTAAAGCCTCTAATATTAAAATGTGCAAACCTAAAAGTCGAATGGGGCTTGGAGAATTTTAAGTATATTTTCTCAAAGCCTAAAATGTGTAATTAAATTTTAGTGGAATTTTTAGAGATGTAAAAAAAAGAATACTAGAGAAATTAAGCGAAGGAAAAATGATACAACTTTCAATTGGGATGGAAATTATATTTATAATGATCATATTTATTCGGATGACATATACTCCCTCCATCTCAAATATTTGGGGTTTTGGATAGATATAATATATCCTAAATACAGACAGACAACTTACCCAGATCCGTAGTACTAGCAGATGTCCCATCCATCCAAAATCTCTTATATTTTAGGATTAAGGGATTATATGGATTCTGCAGAGAGAATACCTATATTTATGACACCGTATTTTCCAAAAATTAATTGAATCATTTTTACATTTTAAATTATCTACACTTACATAATAATTGTATGGTAAGTTTCAATATTTAAATGATAGTTTGTCTCATACTCAATATATAAGAGAATTAGGATTAAAAGTAATCTATTATCTACTTGAGGAAGAGATAGAAGCACACATACGTACAGGAGATGGAGCAATCATATAGAGAAAAAAATGATTGAAATTAAGTGAAAATTTTGACGCTATAGGCCTGGTTTAGTTCCCAAAATTTTTTCCTTAAAACATTACATCGAATCTTTGAACATATGGATGGAGCATTAAATATAGATAAAAATAAAAACTAATTGCACAGTTAGGAAGAAAATCGAGAGACAAATCTTTTGAGCCTAATTAGTCCATGATTAGCCATAAGTGCTACAGTTATCCCCATATGCTAATGACGGATTAATTACGGTCAAAAGATTCGTCTCGCGGTTTCCAGGCGAGTTATGAAATTAGTTTTTTCATTCGTGTCCGAAAACCCCTTCCGACATCTGGTCAAACATCCGATGTGACACCTAAAAATTTTCTTTTCACGAACTAAACAAGGCCATAATTTTAGCAAAATTGTTACGCAAATGTCGACCAGGTTCATCCGAGTCTTTCGTGTAGGGAATACGCCATCATGAAAGCTGTAAATAGTGATCATATTTATTCGGATTCTGAATGATCTAGCCGAGGAGACTTCTTATTCTTATCGCAAATAACTACTCCCTCCATCCCAATATATTAAAACCTAGGACCGGATGGGATATTTCTTAGTACTACGAATCTGGACAGGTACTAGGAAATGTTGGTACTAGGAAATGTTCCATCCGATTCTAGTTTTAATATATTGGGACGGAGGGAGTAACCTCCTCTTATCTGTTGAGGAATGGCAAGCCAACAGCTGTCGTCCGCTGCTTTGCATCATTGTTGCGTTTTTCCAAAAGAAAAAATGGACGCCCACTGATGGGACGTGACGCCACTCATCCGTGGCATATGCTGCATGCTTCCTCTCCACCCTGATTTTTTTTTAATCTAACCTAACCACATGCAAACCTTCTAATTCCAAATGTGAACACGTATTATGCTGAATTATGTTTCTAATCAAACTAGCTAGCAGGCATAAAGCAAATGATCCCATTAACATGTTTCGCTAGTATTACAATAGCCCTTGCGGATGCGGCTTCTATGTGAAACAAATCAAGATTATTAGCATATATTATGATTTTGACGATCCAAGCAAATGGATATTGTAATCGAGCTTATCGCTACAGTTGCAATTTCCAAAAAGAAAACAGCATTTAAGTCAAGCAATATTTTTTTTGATTAGGACAGAAAAAAGACGAAGAAAGCTCGAGACCGACGGCCTAATGGCACGGTGCCATATCTTCTAATAAATTTACTTCGGTATAGTAAAAAGTATCTCGAGTTACCGGTACCTCACGGTACTAAATCGTTTCCGATCATTGAATCTAGTTGGGCAGGATGCGCATTATTAGATCCAACGATCGGAAACGATTTATTACCGTGAGTTACCGATACCTCGAGGTACTTTTTGTTGGACCGGAGCAAATCTCGTCTTGTAATGGCATATTGGCCTCATCCTCGCATTGGCACTGTCACCAGCCTCTTCTGAGCCAGGGCTCCGACTCAACCTGTGGTCTGTCCATCGCAAAGAAGGCGGTGGTGGCTCACATGGTGAGGCGGGTGCATGCCAAAACCGCTGTGCCTACAGAGGAGACGTCGATAAGTCGGGGCTAAGGTACAGGACTAATAAATCTAATAGTTAAAACTAATAGATCCACCTATTTACTTAAGTGAAAATTGACGGTCAGAATTTTTTTTCTCATAATTTCTGTGATTTCTCTAATTTATTATAGCATCACGTAATGGCTTAGGAGTGCACTAAGTTTTAGTATATAACTAGGAGGTAGTCCGTGAATATGTGCAGGCGTCTTATTTATGTTTGTGACTTTTTTTTACCAGAAAGATATAGTGGTAACTTTAACTTAAAATATTGTTTGTTAACAATTTAAATATATGATCTTTATCTTAGAAATGTTCACCAAGATCGTATATGTCTATAGTAGCTATCTGCACGGCCATATTGTTAATATCTTATAAAATTAGACAACCATATTTTCTTCTTTTGAACATGAATGTTTACATTGTAAATTCAAAACTTACACTGTAATTATATTGTAAGTTTTAATATTTAAACTGTAATTTGTTTGATGATCAATGTATAAGAGAATTAGTATTAAAAATAGTTAATTTATTATCTACATGGAGGAGGAGATAGGAGAGATAGAAGCACATATATGTATAGGAGATAGAGCAATCATATAGAGAAAAAATAATTGCAATTAATTTTAGCAAACTGATCAGGTCCATCTGAATCTTTCGCATAGAGAATACGCCATCATGAAATTGTATATAATGATCATGTTTATGATCGGATGGCATATTATTCGGATTCTGAATGATCTGTCCGAGAAGATTTATTATTCTTAAAGCACCTCCAACGTGAGGATTAAATCGAACCTAGCACGAAAATGTCGAACCAAATACATTGTGGGGGATGAATCATGACATGAGTGACAGATATGGAGACGCAGGAGAGGCAGAGAATTTCTTCACTTGTGGGTCCCAGTGGGTCCCACAAAACGATCTGTACACTGTATAGATTGAACTGAAGCTTTGTTTCTTGGATGGACTGATCTGTACATTGTTGGACTGACATGTGGGGCCCACATGGGCCCCACCATTTTTTATTATTTTCTGTGTGAGACTGACATGTGGGTCCCACGAGTTTTATTATTTTTCAGGATCGAATTACCACGTAAGCGCCACGTCAGATGAAGACCGAGTCAAATTTGCCACGTCAGCCAAAACCGCCCTTAAAACCGCCGAGGGACCTAATTTGCACTGGTTTTGATAGTTGAGGGACCCGTTGTGTCTGGTTTTCCGGTTGAGGGACGAAAATCGGATTCGTTGACAAGTTAAGGGACCTCAGATGAACTTATTCCTCCCCGCTATAACCTTCAGGATGAAGCACACCAACAGCCTCCCCATCCACTAAAGTTCAAACAGTAACAGTGCTCAAACAGTAATCCAATTTACTGTTGGATGCTTTTTACTGTAGCGTGATACTGTAGCAGGCTGATCTGTGCCGTTCGATAGAGATCCAATGGCTCAAAATATGAGCCAATGCAACTTACTGCAGACCCTCTGCATTTTACTCTTCAATGCAGAGGATCTCAATCCCACTTCGACCACTCAATCCCCGCTTCACTGTTTGAAATCGGGAGTCGCGTCTGAGAGAGAGAAGCAGAGGCTGCGGTTTCTCCCCCAAATCCCTCGACGGCGACGGTGTCGGCGACCGCTGGCTTCTGCGGTGGCGACGGCGACTCATCCACCGAGCGGAGAGGGGCAACGGTGAGCACAAGGTCTTCCTCGTTGTTGTCACCAGGCTTGAGGTGAGATCTAGCGGGGGCGACGACAATGGCGAGCGCTAGGCTGAGTAGTGAAGCGCATCGTGCAAACCAGGTACTCTCATCTCTTTGAGCTCTTCTGCTGGCTACTTTAGTTCGGTGCTCTGTTGCCGTACAAACATGTTTAAGGTCAAATTAGTGCTCACATATCTCTCCATTGCTTTTACTTCTAATTTTGTCTGATGCAAATCACTGAGATTCCCTTTTTGGTTTGTGGTTTCAATTGGTTTCAGCACCACATTTGGAGATTTTCACACGGATTTTGGGATTTTATCATATGACCTAGAGATAACTTTTCTGTAAATGCGTTCCGTGAATGCTTCTGTGCATTTATGTGTGATTCTCTAGTGCAAAAAATTAGGATGTGGATGTCATGGTGTTGGAATTCGACCCAAATTAGTACTTTGCTTTAAAATTAGTAGGGATTACCTTTGTGCTATGTTGGTGTTAATTTAGTATGTGTTTACTTGCTGCATGCACAGGATTAGGTCGAAGAACCTTGCATGGTCAAAATTCTGTCCATGATTTTTTTTATTTTAGTGTCGAGAACCCTGATGCCAGTGCTTGTAGTTAGTTGTTTATAGAGCACCATGGACAGAAGGTTTGCTTGGGTTAGGGGGAATGGATGTACTTATAGGTCACTGGTTTTATAGTAGATGTTTTTATAGGGCGAATGCAATTGATGTGCTTAACTTCAGATTCCATCAGGAAGATACTAGAAAACTATTTTTCTATGACGTAATTTTGCTTACTGTAGAAGTAACTTTAGGTGTAAGTGGTTGTTAACTTTTAGGTGTAAATGATGAGGATTTTTTTTGTTGCAGGCTATGAGTTCAGAAAAAATGCTTGGTATTACCATCACATGATCTTTTTTTTCCAGAACTATTTGTATGCTTTATACAAGGTTCCAACTTCTGAAGTTTTTTTGTCATGCCGATAGACACACCTAGCTGAACATGTAGCATTATGGGGTCAAATGACCGATACTAAACTAAGTAGGAGTTAGTTAAATTTATGTGCTGACAGTAGTAATTATTTTGTTTTTTTATTTAATTTGTTGATTTTTTTTCTTTTCCTAACTGTATATAAATTTAGGATACACGGAACGAAGAACTTGGCACATAAAGGGACGATGGGCACCTATGGCAGAGGTGGAACAAGCAAAACAATAGGGAATGAGGAACCGCAGTTCATAAGGAAAACCAGGGACAAGAAGCAAATGCCACAACATGAGAAGAAAAGATATTTTGGAGAAGATACCATCTACAAAATGTACAACAACCCACTCCAAGAAAGGTCTAGAAAGAAGGTATTAAACCTATCTTTTTTTTTCCTTTTTTATAAGCAAAATGGTGTTGCAAAACAATGTGATCATGTAGAAAGTAACTTACGGAAGCATTTGCGAAGCAACTTTTATATGACTAACAAGTAAGGTTTATGAAGCTACTTTTACATGCTAAAGAAGTAACTTTTAGAGATTAAGGAAGTAACTTTTAAGTGTTTTAAGAAGTAAATTATGCATGATTCAACAGTTACATTCTCTTAACTTACTCATCTGATCTACGATCCGATTACACTGTTGCGTTCGTAATAATTAAATCTTTATAAAAAGATCTCACGTGATTATATTTTGATAAAAAAATACAAATTACTTTTAGATTATATCTAAATTACTTTTAGATTTCATTAAATTACATCTTAGACATATAAAAGTAAATTCAATAAAACCTAAAAGTAATTTATATATATTATAGAAGTAACTTAAAATAAAGAGAAAGTAACTTGTCACGATTAAAAGTAAATCCGTTGTTTGGGTAACTATGATATGTAGATTAAATCTAATTACTAGATAGACTTATGTTTTTACCCCCACAATAGATTTACTTTTAATGTCGTAACAAGTTACTTTACTTTTGTTTAAGTTACTTCTATAATATATGTAAATTATTTTTAGGCTTTATTGAATTTACTTTTATAACTAAGAAGTAATTTAATGAAATCTAAAAGTAATTTGTATTTTTCATATAAAAGTAATTACATTTGTACAGTTTCATCTCCACTTATATATCATCTTCTCTGGTTTTCTTTTTCATATACTGGCAGCAAGAGAATATTAGTAATCTAAAAGTAATTACATTTGTACAGTGTCATCTCCACTTATATATCATCTTCTCTTGTTTTCTTTTTCATATACTGGCAGCAAGAGAATATTAGTGTCTTTTATTTTTTTCGTATATTGATAGCTGAAATATTCAAGGTGCTCGATTCGATGAGGGATGAGATCAATGAATTTCTAGTATCAAGAAGTAATCTGGTAGTCGCATCCATCAAGATTATATGGAAAGAGATTATGTGGGAAGTCTTTGAGAATCAGTATCATCCGGTGCCCTATTATCTCTACTAATGGACCAAAGCAACCAAACATATACACGACAGACACTTGCTGCTACATATTTTTTAAAAAACAAATTATGTGGAATTAACTTTCTGGAACTAAGTTTAATGTTTTTGGGGAAGTGACTTTCGTGTTGAAGGAAGTAACTTTCTTGCTTGTATAAAGTAACTTTTACTTCTAGAGAATGTATATGCAGCTGATGCAACTTTTTGTTAAGAATCCATCAAAATGCATACCACATCAGTATGCAACTAGATATACATTTTATGTTTTTGTCAAGCTAAGAAATAAACTGCATAGAAGTACGCAAAATCTAAATCAAGAGGCATCTCATTTTAGTGCTAATGAGTGACGCCAGATGTTGTCCGAATATGTGTTAATCTATAGTACTTGTCTGTCAGATATAGTACTTTTCATGGGTTAGCTTTGGAAAGGCCTTATCATGAACTTCCGTTACCGACGGGTAAACGATGTCAGCTTCGTGTCGTGTGGGTAAAGCATGCAATCTCTGTAGAGATTAATGAACTATTCGAACAGCCGTGCCCATGGTCAAGGGCGAGTGTAAGGTGTTTCTCATAGCGTAGATTTATTTGACAAAGGTTTGTGGAAAAGTGGTTATTGGGAAGGGTAACGTTTCCAGAGTCAGCCTGTGTGGCAGACGGCTAACCTTTGTGGTTAGGAACGGGTTTGTGTGACCTGGGGTGTCAACCGACACCGAGGTGTTGTTAGGGCCGAGAGGATTTTGATGTGCTGAGATAACTGTGTGAACTATGTGTTGTTGTGAAAGTGAAAAGAAACTAATAGAGGAAACAAATTAATTATTGTTTGTTAATCTTGTGACAAGTTGTTGCAAAGCAACTTGTGAAATGGGTCGAGGCATGAGCCTCCTCCCGACAACTAAAACTTGACTCACTAGGAGTTTTTGTGAAATAAATCACTTTGCCAAAAAAAGGCAGCTTTCGCAAATAAAACCCTAGCCTCCTTGTTTAAACCGAACATGTCATTCTTTTCCCTGGCTTGCTGAGTACGTTAAGTACTCACCCTTGCCCCTTATAATAATCTATAGAGTATGAAGATGAAGACGTCGACCCGACCGCTGAGGAGGGTCTCCAGGAGCAAGCCGAGTATGAAGACTTCTAGATGTTTCGTGCCTAGCCCCAAGCCTCGTCTGTGGAATAAGTTAGTTGCCTAGGTTCTTTGCCTAGTGCGTAGTCGCTTAGTCTTTCACGCTGTTTGCTTCTGCACTGTCTCTTTTATGTTTTTGCTATGCTGTTGTGTTGCTCATCTATGGGCCTGTCTATGATGGCAGCGTTTGTAAGGACTACTACCCAGTGATGTAATAAAACAGTTTACTTGGATTCTACATTTATTCTGTGTGTACCAGCTAGTGTATATATTCTGGGACAGGTACTATCTCATAGGTAATGAACAACATCCCGATGTAAGTTAGCTGTATTTATGGCTGATGAATGTCGGGGCGTTACAATTGGTTGTGCCATATGCTCCGAGCATTCAACTAGAGCAAGAGCCTTCAACTCCTATAGATGGCCGACTATCCTATTTTTATCATTCTTAAGAAGGTAGACTATCCTATTTTTATCATTCTTAAGAAGGTATTGGAAGGTAACCATATTTTTTAGTGTACCTCGAGCACTACTACATAATTGATTTTTGCAGACGAGACCCCTCCAAATTCTACATGGACCGTAACTGCCTCCGCATGCGAAAATCGCTTCCCTAGGGGTGTTTCATGGCCCTCCTGCGATAACGTATTATCGCAGGCAGCCCCTTAAGAGGTCCGCCTGCGATCATGGGTTTATTCGCATGTGGGCCTCATAAGGGGCCGCTTGTGATAATACGGTTGTTGCAGGCGGCCCCTAACAGGTTAGCCTATGAAAATATGCACGGACCTGCATCGATAGCTTCTCCTTTAAAAAAGCGTTAATTAGATATGTGCCGTTAAGAATTTACCAGTTTTGAAATATGCCATTACTGTTTGCGTATTTGTAACGATGCCACTACTGCTTTTTGTAATCTCAGTGATGCCACTAAGATACATATTTTGCATGTGTTGGACGAAAATGCCCTCATCTTCTACGTCTCTTCTTTCATCTTCTACCTCTCTCTTCCCAAATCCTGTCACCGGCGATGTCCGCTGCGGGAGCTCGGAGCGCCGGATAGAACACCGCAGGTCCGCCATCCACCGAGGCTCTTCACGAAGGCCGTCCTCTGCTACGTCGGGGTTCGAGGCAGTCATCGACGACGAGGTGGTGGAGGTAGCTGCTAGACCAGAGGAGCTGTAGGTGCAATGAGAGAGGGAGGGAGGGAGGTTAATGAGCTCGCCGAAAAGAAGTGGCTGCTCTTTTCTTGGTCGTCGCCACTTCCCATAGCTCCTCGCGGTGAGAAGAGGCGGTTGGATCTGGGACGCGCTGATGCGCAAGAAGAGGCCGGTGGCGGGCCGAGGTGGAGGGAGATGACGCGCAGGAGGAGGTCAGCGGCGGGCCGAGGTGGAGGGGGACGCAGACGAAAGATTGCCGGAGAGGGAGGGGGTGCGACTGTGGTGGCCACCATCACCAGCCAGGTCACGCCATGGAAGAGAGGCGGAAGAAGAAAGGGGAAGAAGGGAGAAAGCATAAGGCGGAAAAGGGTAGTTTGGTCCAGATTTTTCTGTAAATCCATCCAAAGGGTAAGTAGTGGCATATTTCTAATATGTGTAAAATTATAATGGCATGTTTCCACATACACGAATACTAGTGTCATTTCTAAACCAACATATTTTTAATGGCAAGGATCCAATTAACCATTAAAAAAAATACTCTACTGAGGCCTCAGTCTCCCTCTCTTTCTCTTTCTCAGTCTCGATCTCTCTCGAGGAGTGACGACCGTGCGACGATGGAGGGCGGCGGCGGTGGCAAAGGTCGACCTTCCTTCTCCCGCTCTCCCGTCGTCGCCTTTGCCCCTCCCCTCCGACAACAACCGAGCATGGAGGTGGCGAATCGATGGCGGCCTCACTACCTCCCTCGTGGATCCGCCGCTGGCTAGCCTCGAGAGGAGCAGATTTGTTGGTGGCGGTACTAGGGGAAGCAGATCCGTGGTGGCAGCATTGCGGAGGTTGGCCTTCCTTCTCCCGCTCTCTCGTCGCCTGTCCCCCTCCCCTCCGATGGTGACCAAGCGCGGAGGTGGCTGATCGACGCCTCCCTCGAGGATTAGCCGCTGGCTTGCCTCGAGAGGTGTGGATCCGGCAGCGGCAGTGCTAGGGAAGGCAGATCCTGCGGTGACGGCAAAGTGGAGGTCGGCCTTTCTTCACCCGCTCCTCCGACGGCAGCTGAGGGTGGAGGCAACAGATCCACTTTTGAAGCCAATTGTACAAAAGTCCCGGTGGAATATCGGTTCTCTAAAGAATGTTTATCTTAAATTCTTAGTAGAGGATTTTATCCAGCAAGTAATGGCAAACAAAAAGAGCTTTGGACGTTTCATTTGGACAGAACATCGTTCAGTGACTTCAAAAGTTCTATGAGTGGTATGGTGAAATTTTTGGGCCAAATGACTCAACTGGTTACCTTTGTTTTGGACTTCACTGACACTGACATACCTGTGGAGATGATAAAATGATTGCAAGCTTGCCTGATGCAGTTGAAATTTTGCTTCGTAGTTTCGATGTGCTTGATAAACTGCCCGAGAGTACACTCTTCCCTCAATGCCTACGGCAGCTAGCTAGATCTTTTTGCTAATGTCATTAAAGAAGACCCGATGCCAATCGTAGAGAAGCTTCCCTGTCTTGTGATTCTTTCTTTGAGTGGGTATAAAGGCCTGACAATGTCCTGCTCTGCCCAAGGGTTCCCTCGGCTACAGCACTTGGTTCTTGATTCCTGGATTTTTCACATTTTGGTCCTTTTAAAAAACTTATTTTGCAAATAGACCCCTAGAAAACTTATCCCAAAATTAGTCCTTTTTGGGGCGCTAGAGTGGCTGGCGCCGTTGTCCAACAGGACAGCGCCAGCCTCTCTGGCGCCGCCCCCCTGCTGACGTGGCGGGGCGATGCTGAGGTGGCTAGGGGGAGTGCGCCAGAGTGGCTGGCGCCCCCCCCCCCCCCCCCCCCCGAAATTTTTTATTTTTCTTTTATTTTTTTTGATATTTTTTCACGCTTAGGGACACATAAGAACCAACCATAGAAAAAATGAACTCAAATGGACGTAATATGTGACCTGTAGAATTTTTCCTCTCCTCTCATCTCTCTCCGAACCAGTGCAGAGGAGAGAGATGTGCAACTTTTTTATTTTTTTGATATTTTTTTCACACTTAGGAACTCACAGGAACCAACCATATAAAAAATAAACTCAAACGGACGAAATATATGGCATGTGGAATTTTCCAAAGCTCTACCAAAAACTTATCTCCTCGAAAATATAATCTTGCAAGCGGAATTTGGAGGTTTTAATATCGCCGAACCCGGCGAAGCTTGGGAGAATCGGATGTAACTTTTTCTGTAGATGTCCGTGCATATATTATTTGCCTGATTCCGAGTCCGTATGAGAAAGTTACGCCTATTTTAATAGATGACATGTTTTGTCCGTTTCGGTAGAGTTTTGGAAAATTCTACAAGTCACATATTTTGTCCGTTTGAGTTTATTTTTTATACGGTCGGTTCCTATGTTCTCCTAAGTGTGAAAAAAAATATCAAAAAAATAAAATAAAAATAAAAAAATTGCATCTCTCTGTACTGTTTAACTTATATATGTCATTTCATGTAGTTATATTTTGAATTAAATTAAGAAATTTCATATAGTGGTAGAGTGCATTATGTTTAACATGCTGATCAAAGGGTTTTACTAAAGGAGTTATGGTCCAATTTTAGTGAAGGTGCAAAGTAGACTAAGTGGTATGCTAGCTATTTTCAGACTTAGCTAGGTGGTAGTTCGAGTTTAAATTTTTTTTGATCGGTTGTATCGTGATCCTGAGTGTGAAAAAACATCCGAAAAAATAAAATAAAAATGACACCATTGCAACTCCATACAGAGAAACAGGAATGGAGGCGGGTGTGGGGGGGGCGGCGCCAGCATCTCCTCCCTGGGGCGGCGCCAGCATGGCTGGCGCCCTCCTCCTGCCACGTCGGTTTGCGTGCGCCACGATGGCAGGAGGACGGCGCCAGAGAGGCTGGCGCCGTCCCGTTGGATGACGGCGCTAGCCACTCTGGCGTCCCAAAAAGGACCATTTCTGGGATAAGTTTTTTCAGGGGTTTATTTGCGAAATAAGTTTTTTAAAAGGACCAAAATGTGAAAAATCCAGTTCTTGATTCCTTCTCCACTGAGTGGATCATTGAAACTGGGGCGCTGCCAAGACTCTCTCACTTGGGTTTGGTTTAAGAATATGAGAAAGCTGCCTGATGGATTGGGGCAACTTCCATCTCTCCAGGAACTAGTTCTGAAGAGGACATCACTTGCAAAGATCTACAAGGGAAAGGATGCAAGGTCAGTAACATCCCCTCTTTCCCAGCCTTCAGTTCTGTACTGTTTTGATTCTGTTGCCATTTCCATTCTGAACTTAGTGTGTCATGCAATAGTTTTTAGTACAAGCAAATAAGCTAGGGGTCATTTTCTCTGTAGGTCCAAAACGGTTTGTGAACTTTGTACGAAGCAAATCCCTTTTTTTTTGTTGAATAATGATCGAACAATTCATGGTTTGACATCATTCCTTGAAGCAAAAAATAAATAAATCTCAGCATATTTTTTTACAGCCGCATCTTGAGGAGTAGGGGCAGCCAGCGACAACAGTAGCAGTGGAGAGAGTTGGGGAAGATGAGCTGCTGTTGCTGGCCGAGGCCAAGCAGAGCACCACCGCGGATGTCCGCCGCGCGGCTGGGGCTTCCGGGACCATGGGTTACCCTGAGGGCGGCGGGCGCCGGGACGACGAGCCCGTCCACAAGGAGCTGCACGGTGTTCCGCGGCGAGGAGACCCACGTCGAGCGCGTGCCCGAGGTCAACGGCGAGGCCGACGTCGAGTAGGACCTCGGAGATGCGGACGGTGATGCCGTGGACTACCTCCACGGCGATGAGGACTACGTCGGCCGCGAGATCCACTGGCCACTGCCCGCAGCTTGCCACGCCTGCCAGTCGACGACGTCCTCGAGAAAGGAAGAGGGGAAGAAAGAGAGGGGGAAGAGAGTATGACAGGTTGGGCCCACGTCAGGGGTATTTTGGTCCGGAAAAAATATAAAAGTGAGAAAAACATTTCTATTTACAAAAATAACCGAAAATGGTATTTTGGTGAACACCTTCAGTTTAGGATGGTATTCCAGTGAATCACTTTGAAGCGATAGCATTCCAGCGAAACCATTCTTTTACGATAGTATAATCCCAATTTTCTCCTCGCAAAGGAGGTTTGGTTGTTGGAAATCACATATCAATGTCAGCAACACAATAAAATAAATCCGTCGAATCAGTAGAAGAAAGTCAGCTTTCAGGCACAAACTCCAAGAATGAACCTTAGAACTACCCCACCGGCAAGGACTAGAGAGAAAACGCAGCATTTTGCAAAGAACACCAAGAGGCATACCCGATTCATGGGAGATTGAGACCATCTCGGCTAAACGTGGAAGCATCAAATGCCTTGAATAAATCCTTCGCTGGAGAAGTAGCAGAGGAGCACCATCTGAGGAAAAAACTCACTGAAGAAAGAAAGTTTGGTCGACGCTACCTGTGAACTCGCAGATCTGGAGGGATCCCGAGTGATGGCGCAGTAGAAGACCTTGGGAGCAAAGTGAACAACCTCCAAAGCTAGCTCCGGTGGAGTTCATCTTGATACCAGGACGAGGAAGGCTAGCGCTGAAGGCCATCTCACAAACCCAAAGAACGAACTACACAACGGGAGGACCCCAACCAACCAAGAAACCCCGACTAAACTATACCTATAGTACTAGGGAGGAAGGACCGGACCCCTCTCCCTCCCTCTGTCGACGACGAATCGTCGGAGCAGGGGCCGAACGAGCGGCGCATGAACTGTAGCTCGAGAAGGGAACCGAGAGAGCTCCGGGCTTATCCACTCTGAGCTCCTAGCTCGAGTGCCCTCAACCTTCACTACTAGAAAAAGCATTTTCGCTAACGTTGGGTATACTTTTTCGCAGGTGGGTATGTAAATTGGAGTGAAAACCCCGCCAGCAAAAATGAGTACCGGCATGGAGTTGGCCGTCTACCTGCGAAGATAGGTTATCACAGGTGTATCACATAAGGCGCCGCCTGCGATAATAATCTTCCTAGAGTGCAGGGCCAACAGAAGTAGTATGTTTGTTCTAGGTTCAACCAATACGAGTTTTCCTGAAGCCTCTTAATCCAACACTGAATCATATGCAAAGATGAGTTTAGGTGCATGTTTGGTCACCCATAGTTGATCGACCATAAGGATAGTATGCAGTCAATCACAGTCACAGGCACACAGCAAGGGTTTACAAATGTTCTATTGTTAGCTGAAATATGATATGCGTGTAGTCATCGGTGAAGTGGAGGAGTCGAAGTGGTCCATTCTGCTCTAAAAGTCAGTTTCTCTGAAAAAGTACAATACCTGCAGGCTAACAACTCTTAATAATTGAATTTTCTGGTCCTTGTCACTCATAAAGAGATTTGACTCATAACCAGTGGAGTACAATATATACACTCGGGATACAGACCGTATCAAATACACCAACTTATTGAAACGGAGTCAGGAAGGACAGGAAGGTGCCCAAGCCAATATGTACGGGACTTCCTCTATTTCATATTATAGATATTTTGGGTTTTAAATATATCCATACATTAATCCATGTACGTGCCTCACATATGTGTCTAGACTTATATCGATATTACTGAACCTAGATGAGAAATAAAGTGGTCAAAACGTCCTATAATATAAAACGGAGATAGTAAAACCTAACTCTACCAGTCACTGGCAAAGTAATTAACTTATCTAGGAAGATAGCCCGCGCATTTGCGCGGGCATGTGTCTTAAGTTGTTTCAAAAATAATTATAACAAATTAAATTTAAATAAAAAGTATGATGCTTTCTTTTTTTTAATTGAATGTTCATTCTCTCTCTTTTTTTTAGAAATCTTGAAAAGGTTATATTGCTAATTGCTAAATGCTGATTAATCTATCCGTCATGCTGGTCCTCCCTTTTCAATGGGGCTATCTTTATGATAGAATTTTACTTGTATATGCTATAGGTTCATAGTTTCAGCGAAAAACAATTAGAGGTAATGTCCTTACCTAATGAAATATAAACCTAGCTACTACTACATTTGTTTAGTCATGCCTAATCTAAATAAATATTTGTAATTTTATATATGAAATTCTTATGCTCTCTGGATTTTTAAATGTCCCCAAAAGCATCAATGAATTAACTTTATTGCACAATTTTCAATAGGGTATTTAGTAGTTTAAAATTAAATAATGATCCAATTTTTTCAAACATCCAAATTTTGCAAGCAAAGACAACACAAAAATATATGTGAACAATCCTTATGCATCTAGTTGTTGTGTTATTCAAACCTTAATTTAAGGATTAATAAAATTAAATTCATTTCTAATTCAGATCAAGAAAAAAATAATTTTGCTGACCCTAAGGCATATAAATATTAAAACTATTATTATATGTTGCCAAAATTAAATAAACCTTAGAGGATTAAATAAACTCATATAATACAATTTATTATAGCTAAATCGATTGTCATGTTTTGATTTGAATTTGCATGAATTGAGATATATCGATATGTAATGTTAGCATTAGCTTATTTATATTGTGAATAGAGGACATGCAAATTTGTATAAAAGAATGCAGACTAACCTCATCGTTTAATATTTGGTTGGATCAGATAAAGTCAACTCATATATATACTCTCTCTATCTGGGCTCATAGCTAAGATTCAACAATGCAATCAGTGTCAATAAAGTTTACTATAAACACTAAAATATTAATCGGATTCAGTAAGGCAATCAATGCGCGCGTTAATAAGGCTTATTACAAAATTAAATTTGAATATTATGCCTAAAATTAAGTGGTAGACGACATGCTAGTTGATAGCGAGTTGTGTGTGGTTACTTCATCGTTCATAGGATTTGTCAGCCTAGTCTCTTAACGGTTTTCAAAGATGTACGGTGTGTGTATATTTATCGAAATAAGTGTATATGTGTGTGTATATATGAGGCTGCCTCGGAAGAAAATGTAATAAGAGTTAAAATAAATGCATGCATGTGGGATCAGATCAATGGCTTTAATTGATTGAAAGTATTTTGCTAAACCAAATAGTATACTTACTTATAACCAAGATAAAGCAGCTACCAGAGAAACTTTACATTGATCGATCATGCATCTTGTCGCATTATCTGCTGCTATCCTTAATCCTTTGGCCACATGCGTTGCTATGGATGCGCATGCAAGTAGCCAAGCTGCCAACGTGTTGCACGAATGCATGACAAATTTTCGTCTTGTCCTGTATGCATCAAATCCCATAGATAATCAGAGATAATTATAGATGGAATCAAATCTTGATTGAGGAAACAACACCAGAGCTGTAAAGGATTTGTATGTAGTGGTCATCGGTCCTCTTGCACTCGCCGCGTCAATATGAAAGATCGATGAAGCTAGGGCGCGCTGGCATACACCGAGAGATCGTCATGGCCAGCCGCCGTCGCTAGGTTTGGAACAGGCTCCATCGCTGTTTAAAAATCCCACCTGCGCCGTGTTCCCATCTGCTAATGGCTGAACGATTGATACAAGGATAATGATCGGTTGTTGATTGGATGCATCCACATATACGTATTACGTATGTATGTACATAACAAATAATTAAAGGATATATCTAATGGTTAAAAAGATGGTTGGATTTGCTTTCTTTTTTAGAATTTATAGGACTTTCTTTAATTTATTAGAGCGCCACGTGTCGGCTTAAGAACATTTGTAGAATGCCACATGGCAGCTTGAGAGCGTTTGTAGGAAGTTTGATGGACTTTTAGTATATAATTTTAGTATATAATATATAGATAGATAGATAGATAGATAGATAGATAGATAATAGATAGATAGATAGATAGATAGATAGATAGAAGATTTGAGATGCAAATTAAATTAGTTAAAAAACACAGATGATGATTAACACAACTCCAATCAAAGGCTTTGGATCTTGAAGACACGTTTATTAGTTAGAGAGTTACTATTATTAAGAGAGTTAATCAAAAGTTATCTCAAGGGCTGGTTTACCAACCGTCCGATCCCCACAAAAGCGAATCTGAACCATCCAGCGACGATGATGCCCTGAGAAAGAGGAACTTCGTTCTCCATCGAGCCCAAGCGCCGCCGCTCCGCCGCCATCGCCGTCGCCGTCGACCCGCCCCCGCGGCGGAGAGGAACTGCAAGCCCTAGGTACGTGAAAGTGTGTGGGTGGGTTGGGGTTGAAGTTGAATCGGCTCAGTTTTGTCTGCAGCTGAAAGCTTGATTTCTCGGTCGGTCAGGTTCTGGTTTGTGTTTAGCTGCGGTGTGGATTTGGGGGATTCAGAGTTCAAAGTGAAAGTTCATCTCTAATTTGTTCAGTTCTTGTGCGGAAACTTGTGAAAAGTTTTAGTTTAGTTGCCCAAGTTTGTAGCTGAAACTTAAATGTGAATTCTTAAAAAAAAAACAACAGATTTTCAGAAACTCGAATATTAGCTCAAACCTTTTGCGATTGAAATGTCCTAGCGCATGCAAGATCTGTCAAACAAGACTACATGATATGATCCAGGAGCTAGCGAAACACCTTCCAGAACATACAAATGAAGAGTTCTATGTCCGAGACTAAAGTTTGTGCTAGTGAATATCTGACGGCCGAGGTGGAGCGGCTCTGGGTGGTCTACATAATGGAGGTCAGAGCTATTACCCTGTTACATGCTTGGCCATTAAGTGAAATGACAAAGCAGTTAATTAATCATAGATTTTATACATATAAGCACAAGGCACCAAGGTAAATGGATTGTCACTGGTAGATGCATTGCACAATGTCTCCAATTCCTACCATAAAAATTTGCTTAAAGCAAAAAGTGCCAATCTCACATGCTCCTTTGATTATAGTTTCGTCCCCTTTAGCCTCTCTATGTACTATATACACCTGTGAGCCTATTTAATAGAAAAGAAACAACATAAATAAAGCTATTCTGTTGGAGGCTCAAATATGTTAATTTAACATGCCAAAACCTCATCTGAAGTAAGGTATTCTTGTAGTTAACTCAATGCATCTCCTTGCTTCACCTCATTACCAAATTAAGTAGGCTAAATACTGCACTTGTTTTTTACTTAACACCCAATATCAAGCAAGGCCCTGATCAAGCCAACATCACTCTAACACGAGAGTAAGGTATCAAGAACTCGGATGTTAGTTGAAATCTTTTTGCAGTTCCGATTCACCTTAAATTGTTCATTACATCACTCTAACAAGATTAGCTACATGATGGAAGACCTACAGAAATACTACTACCGTCAAGGATTTATGTGTGTCGTCTACATACTGGAGGTCAGATCGATTTATTACTTTGTTACCCTGCTTATTATCTACTAGACTTCACCTTCAATCAAATGGTCAAAGCAGTTAATTATAATCACATATTGGCATATTGCACACCTAGAGCACAAGGCACCAAGGAAAATGGTTTGTTAGCTCCAATTTATAAGTTCTGAAGGTACATGCTTTGCAAAGCATGTATCCAAATCCTACTGATCAATATCTGCTTAAAGCAAATGTGCCAATCTCACATGCTCCTTTGGTTTTAGTTTTGTGAACCTTTACCCTCTCTAAGTATACAATGTGTGGGGCTACTGTGCATTTGTTCCTTTGAGCTTAGTATAATACACCTGTGAGCCTATTTAATAGAAAAGAAACAACACAAAAAAGCTAGTCTGTTGGAGGTTCAAATATGTTAATTTAAGATGCCAAAACCCCATCCAAAGTAAGGTATTCTTGTAGTTAACTCCACTGCATTTCTTTGCTGCACCTCATTAGTTACCTGCACTTCTTATTTACATCAAGCAAGGCCCTGATCAAGCCAACATTACATTACCAAATTATGCCCTCCAAAACCACAATTACACTCTGAGAAATACAATCCTCATTTCTTGGAAATATTTTCCATATTCCTCAGTTCATTGAGCAACCGTTTGTGAGCAGATATGGCTGAATCGGCTGTTTCTGCAGCGGTTGGTAGCATCAGCAACCTTGCTGCCCAGGAGACCTCACTGTTATGTGGAGTCATGGATGAAGTTGGGTTCTTGAAAGCTGAGCTCGAGCGTCTCCATGGCTTCCTTGAAGATGCCAAGCACAAGAGGAGGTCTGGGGATGCAAGTGCAGCTGTTCTTGTAGGGCAGATCAGGGATGCAGCATATGACGCCGAGAATGTTATTGAAGCATCAGAGTACATGGTGAAGCGAAACAAGCTCAAGAAGGGTTTCATGGGTGCCATTTCAAGGTATGCTCGTTTACCAACTGATTTGATAGCCCTGCACAAAATTGGTGTTGAAATTCAATGGATAAGAAGGAAGATCAGTGAGATATTTTACAGTGCAAACCGTTTAAAAATCGTTGGATTGGGTAATCCTACCACAGACATAGGTCATGCTGATGATGAGTTTCCCCAAGATTATGATATTATGTATCAAAATTTTGAAGATGATGATGTAGTTGGATTTGATAATGAGTACAATGAGATAGTAGAGAAGTTAGTTGAACAGGAGAACGAGCTTAGCGTTGTTTCCATAGTAGCCATGGGTGGTGCGGGGAAAACTACACTTGCTAGAAAAATCTACAATTCAACTAGAATCAGAAATCACTTTGACACAACTGCTTGGGTGACTGTATCTCAAAAGTTCAAAGGCATTGATTTACTTAAAGATATTATGAGACAGATAATGCCCAACAAACTTGAGTCTAGAGAAATTGATCAGATGCAAGAGTTGGAGGTGGGAAAAAAGATCCACGAATTTTTATTGAATAAGAGATATGTTGTAGTGCTTGATGATGTGTGGGCAACAGATACATGGAATCAAATAAATAGAGTGGGTAAAGTCTTTCCAGATGCAAATAATGGCAGTAGAGTATTGTTAACCACTCGAAAGGAAGATGTTGCAAATCATATTGAAATGTCGACCTACATCCATCCTCTGAAGCTCTTAGATGATGAGAAAAGTTGGGAACTTTTTAGTAGAAAATCTTTACCATCATACAAAAGGTCTTCACTACAAGATGTTAATGAGTTTGAAGAACTAGGGAGAAAGCTTGCTAGAAAATGCAACGGATTGCCTCTTGCACTTGCAGTTCTGGGGGGTTATCTGTCCAAAAATCTAAACATACAAGCATGGTCAGACATATTTAAGAGCCGGATATCAACAAAAAATGGACAGATGATGCGAGACATACTAGCTCGCAGTTACAATGATCTGCCAAATAATTATATGAAGTCTTGCTTCCTTTATATTGCTGTTTTCCCTGAGGATTATTCTATATCTACGGCGGACCTTGTTGAATTATGGACAGCTGAATGTTTTGTTCAGCCTAGAAGAAAATATAAGCCAGAAGAACTAGCATACAAGTACATAAGTGAGCTAGCTCAAAGAAGCCTCGTCCAAGTAGTTGATAGAAGCACAGCACATGGATCGATTTTAAGAATAAAGATCCATGATATTTTGCGCGATTGGTGCATCGAAGAAGCAACACAAGATGGGTTTTTTTTGTGTCACCGACAAAAATACAGGTCATTGTTCTTCTCCTTGCACTGTAGCTACATATTTTCAGAAAAGAAGTTTTTATGGTCATCAAGGAGGGCAGCACTTATTTTTAGCATTATTTTTTGCATACTAGTACCTGAGTATTGAGGTGTCAGGAGTATCCACAACTTTCATTAAGAAATGTGATACCTCCTGATGTCTCTTTTAAGATACGTAAAAAATATTTTAGGCTCTCTTGTTTCCTCCTTAAGGACTGTAAGATTATTGCTCCTTTCAAAATATTTATCCTGCTGACATGCATGTATTGATTTACTTAACACATTTGCAGGTCGAGCTGAAGTATCATCATTTAATACCATGACATTCTATCGGAATTCTTTTCATCACTTCTTTGATGACAAGATACTCCAGGCAACAGCTTATAAACGTACTATACTTGGCTTTAGTGTCCCATCGATGTTCCTACTGAAGCTGAAGTTTCTGAGAGTTCTTCATGTAGAAAATTCAACGATAAATAATTTCTCCATGGCAATTAGTGAGTGCATTCACCTCAGGCATCTAATATTGAGAAATTGTGTAAGTGTTAGACTCCCACCTTCAATTGGAAAGCTTCTTTACTTGCAAACAATAGATTTGAGGAGAACAATTTTGGAGTCAATTGTACCAGAGTCCCTGTGGAATATTGCCTCTCTAAAGCATGTTTATCTTAGTGGAGGATTTTACCCAACAAGGAATGGCAAACAAAAAGAGCTTCGGACTTTTCATTTGGAAACATCGTCGTTCAATTACTTCAGAAGTTCTGCGAGTGCTATTGTGAAATTTTTGGGCCAAATGACTCAACTGGTTACCTTTGTTTTGGACTTCTCTCGCACCGACATACCCGTGGAGATGATTAAAATGCTTGCAAATATGCCTGATGCAGTTGAAATTCTTCTTCGTAGATTCGATGTGCTAGATAAACTGCCTGGGAGTACACTCTTCCCTCAATGTCTACGGCAGCTAGATCTTTTTGCTAATGTCATTAAAGAAGACCCGATGCCAATCGTAGAGAAGCTTCCCTGTCTTGTGGTTCTTTCTTTGAGTGGGTATCAAGGCCGGACAATGTCCTGCTCTGCCCAAGGGTTCCCTCGGCTACAGCGCTTGGATCTTTCAGTGTTCTACACAGAGGAGTGGATCATTGAAATTGGGGCGCTGCCAAGACTCTCATTTGGGTCTTCATTGGTTTGAGAATATGAGGAAGCTGCCTGATGGATTGGGGCAACTTCCATCCCTCAAGGAACTAGTTCTGAAAGATCCCTTGATTTCTGAAGATGACATCACTTGCAAAGATCTACGAGGGAAAGGATGCAAGGTCAGTAACAACCCCTCTTTCCCAGCCTTCAGTTCTGTACTGTTTTGATTCTGTTGCCATTTTGCATTCTGCACTTATGTGTGTCATGCAATATTTTTTAGTACAAGCAAATAAGCTAGGGGTCATTTTTACTGTGGGGCCAAAACGGTTTGTGAACCTTGTGTGAAGCAAATCCCTTTTTTTTTTGTTGAATAATGATCGAACAATTCATGGATTCACATCATTCCTTGAAGCCAAAAAAAAAAAAATCTCAGCATATTTTTTTTACAGCCACTTGCGCTGTGCCCAGATTTTTTTTTTCCTTTTTGGCTTATTGGCAAAAATGAAGTAGCATATTAAGGATGAATATAATCACTACTCTCTGTGATAGATGATCAATTTCGTAACTGGAAGCCCTTCTCAATTTTCTTTTTCAGGTGACATACACCAGATACATGTTATCGGGAGGGTTTTTTTAGAGGGAGGGAGGTACACCAGATACATGTTATCAGGTGACATACACCAGATACATACACCAGAGAAGTAGCATATTAATTGATCTGGATTTTATTTAAGGGAGGGAGGTTTCTCCCCGTTCCTGCGAGCTATTCTCTGGGCTTCCTGCCTATAAGAAGGTGACATGTCATCGTTTATGAGGCAGTAATCATGATGTACGTACAAGATGAATGTTTATTACAACTAGAAAAAATGCCCGTGCTTGCAACGGGTGAAGTTTATTTTAATCTTATTATTATTATATGGTTTAGTTAAGATGAAATTCATTATGGTAGTTCGCTTGGATATATATATTTTTAGAGAATCATGAGCTGCAGTTAGGAGGCCGATCGTCTGAAGTTAGCATGCGAGTTTTTTTTAAACAGATTTCTTATAGGATTCCTTCTGTATTACCAAAAGTGAACGATCTTAAAAACCGACACAAATACGGATATGTATTTTCAAAAGCAAACGAACTTAAAAACCGACTCATACACAGAAGACGTACCAAAATACCGGTGAAAATATTTTTAATTTTTATAATAGTAGAGATAGAGATATTGACTCTCAATCTGTAATATCCGGTGTGTTGAAATGAGGGCTTTCCATTATATTTGTTTGCTTGGATGTAAGAATAATAAAACTGTAACTCCTGGTGACTATGCAGCAGGACAATTAATATGCACATATGATTTATCCGTATTTGTACATGTTTTATATTTCGACGAATCTCTGTGAAATTATCTGTTGTAGCTTGATGATGCACTGAGCCATTGGCTTCACCTGTGTCCTTTTGTCATCCGATCGACCTCACTGAATCAAAAATATAGCCATGAGTTTCCAAATCTTTAATTAGTGTTTGTCATATTAGTCTGATGATTTTAGTCAGGAGATGTTGTATTTCAAAATTACTTTTAGCCTTCCGGGTTGATTATAAGAGAGGCTTCGGGCTTGGCCTATTTCGAATTGGACATGAGCAAAGTATAGAATCTAATTAAAGTTACAGAGTCAACATTGTTTGATTTTTGACGGAAGCCAAGAACACAATGAATTGTCCTTCAGACAGAACCAATAAACACAACCACCTAACACTGAATCTTCCCGACTACGACAACAACAAAAATTCAAACAACGCCCCTGCAGAAATATTTACGTTATCAGTGTTCTCTGAAGAAACCCTCAGATTTGCATGTTCAGAACACTTTGTTGATGGACCACAATAGCAGTTAACCACAAAAACAGAATGAACAGAGTTACGAAGTAAGAGTAGATTAGTTTTTTTTTTATGGAACCTGCCCATCCAAATTTAAGTATGGCTGATTAGGTTTTTCTTTTTATGGAACCTGCCCATTCAAGTTTAAGTATGGCTAATTATTTTTTTAAGTAGTAGGCAACGTAGCTATTGCAGCAAGACATATATGGTGACTTTGTCAATCTTGAGATATGCCAGCTCAATCTTCGTTGGTTCTCATGGAGGCAGGTTTATGCACGCGTGCACTTGTAGAGGTGAGTATGCGTGTCAGCGAGTGTACGTATATATGATGCTTGCGTCTGATATTGTGTTTGGGAAAAAATGAACAGAGTTGAAAGTCGTCAATGGACATTGCTAGAGCCTTCTATGCAAGTAATAATCAATGGAGGAGACAGGGCGAGGCAAAGCTAGTGCTTGGCCTCCGCCGTGATTTGATAATTTCAATGTTAATATATTATTGTAGCATAAGTGAGAATCGTCCTAGATGTCCAACTATTCAGGCTCAATTCATGAACTAGTTCCAAGGCATCAGTGATTGAAATTTCGTTTTGAAATTTGCTCCCCACCCCGTAAGCACGAATCTCATCCGAAATTTTCCCTTTTTTTTCATTTTTTGGTGAATTTGGTCAAAGTTTATTTGAATTTCGTTCAAAATTCCTCAAATTTTCAAATAATTTCAGCCAAGAAATTTTAGGAATTTCAGTTCTTTCGGGCCACCCCAGCAAAAAACCTAATTTCAAGATTGCAAACCCTGCATGGCATTGCTTCTGTCGACCTCCACAGTGTATCTCCACCCACCGACTACCGGTGAACTGCGAATCAGAATTCGAATACAATCCGAGCGAGATGAGTTCAAATCTTGGAACATACATGATCAATTTGTAGACATGCCATACATATGGTGTGATTGTGAGACGTTGTACCAACAGAGCTCAGTGGTTGTCGTAGTCTTGTTCACGATGCCTCCTAGACCTAGCTACCATGTGTTGAGTAAGGTAAGGATGTAAAATTTTCAGAAGGATTTCAATTCTCAGCAACCGTAAATTTGTGATCGATCAAAGCTTGTCCTTGTTGCTAATTGAGAGAGTGAGTTCATGAGAATAATAGAAGTACACGCGTACTCCCTCCGTCACATAATATAAGAGATTTTGGGTGTATTTGATACATCATAAATACAATGAATCTGGACAAACGGTGGATATTATGGGACGGAGGGAGTATATGTTTATTGGATTTATAAAGACGTGGGTGTGATGAGCTCATATATTTTAAGCTGAGCAAATTTTCATATTTCCTGTTTTCCCAACAAAATTTTGCATTCCTGGCCATCACCTCTCCTTACAAGGGATAATCTTACTAATGAGAAGGTGGTGTTATTTTTCTCTAATTTTGAGCTGAGAAACAGAAAATTTTGAGCAAAGCACAATGCCAAGAAGCTTATTGGATTGACTCTGAAGCAAATGTTTCCTGATAAGCTGCTCATGAACTTAACATCACTTTTAGATCTGAAGCTGTGGACGTTCAGTTTTTTCTGACCAACTTCAGTTGTGAATGACGACAGCATAAACTGTGAACTTGTCACGTGAGATCTCTTCTCACGAAATTCTCTTGAATCTTATATATACAATATTGTTTCATCTCTATGTTTCCGATACTGTATGTTTTTCTACTTTATGTAAACATACAATATTTGTTTGGGACGCTAATTAATTTGAACACCGGGCTGGTTTCTACTAATTAATACCGATTTCTGAATGGGATAAATATGCAGAGACAAACCCAAGACCTTGGTCATCCTTTCAATTTTAGTTAGTACAATGAATAGAGTTGAGTGTCAGTAGAAGCTCAAGCACTATCCTTTGGTGCGCCATTTCTGCAGGTTATTCCGTCTCCTAGATGCCTTGGCATTAGCAGTTTGCTGAGTTGAACTGACAACTGACGAGAATAAGTGATAAAAGAACACACGACAGTTGCAGAACAAGAGCAGATCAGCAGAACAACAACCGTTCTGAGAAATCTAGGAAGGTGTTCTTTCCTGGTACCCCTCAATCCCATTGATCATGCTTGGCGTGCTTGTCATTAGATATGGTAGACGATTTATATATGTGTTCTTGTGTATGATTTGTGTGTGTGCATGTGTTCTTGGAGGACCCTATATATAGGCGGCATGGCCACTCGCATATATGCTTTCAGTGACTACTACCTACTCTAACTGCCAAGTCTAATTAAGTCGCATCAACTTTTTTTTGGTCAGTTTCAAGTTTCAAAATCTCTACTGTCAAAAACATATATAATTAACACATGTGTATAATGGAATTCGTAAAGGCCCTTGGTGTGTGTTGATCACTCGAGTCTTGACGACTCTTTTGTCCTACCAAAGTTACATCAAGTGCTTTGGTAGTTAAAACTTCAATATATATGTCATAGCAACGGAAAATGCTAAACAAATTCAAAATATCTTACTAGCAACACCATCAAAATCTGGAAAAACTGCACATATGTATTACATGAGAGTTTTTTTCATCTCGTCTGTCCAGGATATGTATTACAGAGAGATTTATCCAAGAGCCCAGGATGCAATTAACCTACCTGCGGATTCAGCACCTAGAGCATCTCCTGGAGAAGACTAAACATACGCCAAAAGGGCAACTTTCATGACTTACGACAGATATTTAGATACTCCCTCCATCACAAAATACTCGACACCGTTGACTTTTTTAAATATGTTTGACCGTTCATCTTATTTAAAAAATTTAAGTAATTATTAATTCTTTTCCTATTATTTGATTTATTGTTAAATATACTTTTATGTATACATATAATTTTACATATTTTACAAAAGTTTTTAAATAAGACGAACGGTCAAACATGTTTAAAAAATCAACGGTGTCAAATATTTAGGGAAGGAGGTAGTACATCCTAACGAAGTGGCCTCGATGGGTTGGCCCGTCGTCTTGCCTCCGACCATGGCGACCTCAACTGCGACGACGACGCCTTCTGTCCATCCCGTCCGTCGAGCGGCCTTGGATTCCCACCGTACGCCGCGCCGCCACCCATGCCGCTGCACTCCGATGTACTCGTATGCGAGACGAGGACGAGCTCCATTGGACTCGTTCGTGCAAGAGCAGATCCAGCAGCCGTTCCGATAGCCGGGATGCAGATGGAAAGTTACCCGTTGAAGGTGCTCTCCTGATGCCTCTCAATCCTAGCTATTGATATCCTGCTTAATTGGCATAATGCGTATTAATTAGAGAGACGTACACTATGGTTTGTATCTGTTGTTCATGTGTGTGTGTGGATGATTTGTGTTTGTGTGTTGTTGGGGAATGTATATATGTATGGTGTAGATTGATCCGGCCGGCAGCCAGTACGTTGCTTAGCTCATTTCTCATGGTAGATAGCTGATCTAACTCTATTGCACAAGTGTATATCACAACATAACATGTTCATATGTATATAAATTGGGCCGGGCGAACCTATCGCGCAATAGTTAAGACTTCAATTAATGCTCAAAATTGTCCCGTGGAGGCTGATGAGTACCACATGGTATGCAAGCTTTCATGTCATTTTTTTTAGATAATGGAATATAATATCCCGGCCTTTGCTTAAAAAGAGCTACAGCCAATTATTACAAAGTTTCACTCCAGAAGAGACTGTAGTTCAAGACAAGTTGAACACAACAAACAGGAAAAGAGAGGACCCAAACTAAGAAAAGCAAAACAAAATGTGGAGCTAGAAGGCCTCGTCAAAGCCTAGGACTGAAAGCCAATGCATAGACCCTTGACAATCTTTGCATGAAGAGGGTTCTCCAAAGCGGTGCCCCCAAGGAGGACGCGACGTGGATCGCCGCCACCGCTCGTTCGGAACGAAGCAAGGTTTTCACCCAGAGAATATGGTTAGGAAAGGAGAGAGGTAATCTAAAACGACGCCTCTAAGGAGGGGAACAACGCCAAATAGCGTCGACGTCGTCAGCCGGCCAAACGGCTCGGCAAGGCTTTCGCCCGTGATTCCCTATCCAAACCCACACCACC